AGACCTTTTAACTAGAAGCAAGCAATCTAAAATTACATACATTTTGCAAAAGGTAAAGCATGGATCTGAAGATAATGCAGAAAAATGCTCAGAGGATAACGATAACTTGCCAAAAAGAAAACGCGCTCGTTTAATTAATAGTGTTTTTAGTGATGACGAAGAAAACATTGTTTAATTTATATTAATATGTATCACTTAAAAAATTTTAATAAAGATATTTATCTTAATTATGAAAATATAATAGCATGTTTTTTTTTTATTTTTTGGAACCTAACCCTCCTTTTCGTATTAGTTCTTTGTTTCGTATAACACGGATTCGCATAACACGGCAATTTTTTGGAACGTAACTACTGTGTTATACGGGGGTTACCTGTACTCAGTATAGTATTATTTTTATTTGTAATTTAGTATGCCCCGATGACTGCATCGGGCTGCTACCAGAAAGCCCACTAGGAGGCGTCCCGGGCTACTAGTATATTACAATGGCACATGTTTTCCGTTATACGAAAGAGATAAGCATTTTCAAAAAGCTCCTGAATCAACAGAAGACGATAATCATTCAAGTAGACCAGCTATGAAAAAAAATAAAGAAATTCCAGAGTTTACGAGGAGATCAATGAGATCGTAAGCAATTAATAGACGATCTGTTCGATATTTCGAGAATTTCACGTAGTTTTGTACAGTACATGCCATTCTTCACGATGACTCGAAAACGCATCTCCTCTGTTTTCATATTGTTCGAAAGGACTTGCTCTTATCAGAGGAGAACTGATCGACACAGTTCATAAAGGCCATATATTCTAAACAGTGATATCGTCACCAAAATAAAAGCTTTACTGAAATATCGCAGTTTCAAATTAGCAGAAGAGGTGCGACGATCGTAAGACCTCTTTCCCCCAGACACATTTTTTCTTTTTGAATGTAAAACTTATCTCTGGGTGAATTTTTATACTTAATTAATTTTTATGCTGCAAGTACCCGCTTTGCTGAATTTTTATTTGTTTGTACATTTATATGACCTGCTCATCTAGGCGAATGTTACTCATTTTTTCTCTACTCTGATTTCTTCTTTCATCCAACTGTGCACTTGTTTCTCTTCCTCTACGTAATCTTTCTCTGATTCGATGTGTTTTCCTATAATTTTCAAGTTGCTCTTCTGTCTGATAATTTTTGTTTCGTTAATAATTTTCTCGTAGCAATGTTACACGTACCTCTCTTTTTTCCGTGGTTTCATTTCTCCGCGCCATCTTTTGCCTTTGAGATATGGTTCGAGACCACAAAAATTCTTTCTTACCCTTTGGCATTGTTTTTTACATTTTTACTTTTCACACTTCAGAATTCACTTTTCACTTTCTACTTCTGTTCTGTTATTCGTACACTTTTACTTATGAAAAATCAGTTGAAGCATGTGCGTCACACGTGTCCAAAAGCCATCCCCACTACTCACACATAACGGTCCTCGACTATTCCAAAACGTTTTCGACTATTCGAAAACATTTAAGATTAAGATTAAAATTAAGATAACATTATAGCCAATATTACCCATTTTCACAGAATGCGAGAATTAGGTCCCCCGTTTTCAGACTAATTAGGAAATTTTTACATAGGTCTAAAAATATGTTCGATTTCTCACAAAAACGCAAAAAACCGCATCTGCGCTTGTAAATCTTGCACGCCGCTTTCTCTTAAACTTCCATTGTTACACATTTTTGAAGTCAACCACATTGTTACACATTTTTTTCAACCCCCATATCTCCCACACCCTTATTCGCTTGTGCCAGTAAATATAGATGGCGTATAAGTCGACCAAAATGGCTGCCACAAAGGGTATAGCGTACGTGGCAACATACGAGAGTTACATGTGTGTGTTGTCTTTTTAATATATTTTCTTTCTGTAGTCAAAACGTTTTATCCGCATTTGTGTCCGATATTAATCCTTGTTAATTTCGTAGTTGTTTAAGTCATGATGATTACACCAGCGGCGGCCTTAACCATTGCGAGGCTCTGGGCGGAAGATCTTTGCGAGGCCCTTGTCCTTTGTGCAAAGTATGTGAATTGAAATAGGTATTTCTGATGATTGACGAGAAATGCAAAAGTTATAAATAAATAAATTTAGAGTTTTAAAATATTATATTAGAAGATTTATAAAAGTTAACAAACATAAAGACGACAAATTATTAATGATGATAAACTAAGGTACATAAATGCCTTAAAAGATATACACAGGGATTTAAAAATGATGTTTGCGGCTTTTCCTAAGACTAAAATCTTTAATTAAAGCAGAATAATCTAACGAATGAGCTACGTCATTTTCAATTGAAAGAATAGCAAGGGCCGAAAGCCGATCTTGTGTCATCGAATTCCTCAAATATGTTTTAATAATTTTTAACCTCGAAAAACTCCTTTCTGCAGACGCAACTGTCACAGGTGTGGTGGCAATAATTCTCAGGACTACTTCCATTGTGGGGTACACTTCAGTTAAATTTTTTTCTATTATATATTTCAGCACCGAGATAATGTCGTCGTTTCCTTCATATACACGGATAAACATATTCAGTTCTTCATACAATTCATGTCCATCAATATCAGATGTTTCTCCTACTGTTAGAGATATTTGCAAGTCGCTGCATTGCTTCAAAAGTTCACAATCACTAATTTCCTTTAATCTTTTTATGTTATACATGAAACCAAATATGCTCTCATGATGTTTAAGTGCCTCAAATCTAGGTTGGCAGCTTGCGCGCACATTGTCGACAATGACATAAAAATAGTTTATTTTGAAAATCTCTTCCGCAGACAATTCAAGAGCTTCATCTTTCCGGTCATAATCAAAATTCGTTCTTTTACGTCTCCTTCTCACGACTTTGAACTTTCTATCAATATCATTTTCCTCGGCTATTTCTCTCGCTGTTACCAAGGATGATTGGAAACCATTTTCCCGATAATTATCAAGCCAATGTGTAAATGCCTCTAGGTGTTGTATAGCCGCATCTAGGAGCATTTTTTCGCTCTGCCAGATTTTACTTATAACATTTATCTTTGTAAGAATGTCATACCATACGACGAGAGCAACTACAAATTCGTAGGTAGTTATTTCCTTTTCTACAGAATGGCATTCACTAACCAACTGACAATCTGTTGTATTTTCTGTTAAATCCTTCAAAGCATCACATATATCGCTTAGTTGGTATTTAACGGCCTTCACCGATTCTACCCTGCATTCCCATCTAGTTTCGGAAAGTGGTTTTAGCGATAAGGATTTTACATGTGCTTTTAAAATAGCCCACCTCTGACTCGAGCCGGCAAACAGAGTGTACAGCCTTTGTAGCAAACCAAAAAAAGATTTTGCTTGAACACAAGAGGATGCTGCATCTCCTAGGATGAGATTATAGCTGTGACTCCCACAAGGTAAAAAATAAGCAAGTGGATTAATTTCAAGTATACGTTTCTGGACACCACTTTTTTCTCCACTCATATTGGCTCCATTATCATATCCTTGGCCTCTGCAGTTTTGCAATGATATACCCAACTGTTCTAGCTCTGTGATTATGTAATTAGTCAAACTCTCAGCTGTGGTTTTTTCGACGGCTAAGAAGCCAATAAAATGTTCTTCAATAGATGTATTTGTATTAAAAACTCTTATAATAATTGACAGTTGCTCAACACGAGAAACGTCACGAGTACAATCAAGAATAATCGAGTAATATTTATTTTTTATTATTTTGTCAACAATTTGAGCCTTCACGTGACTTGCCATTAATTGTATACGCTCATTTTGAATATTTTTTCCGAGATAGTGGTCATTAGTCGTCTTGTCTGTTACTTGTTTTAGGTGAAGTCGCAACATTGGATCGAATCGGGCTATTAACTTTACTAAATCTATAAAGTTGCCGCTAGTCTCACTTGAATCTGAGTCAGATATTATTTTCTCTCTATGACCTCTGAAGGCCAAATTGTGAGATGCTAAAAAATTTACAATTGCAAGTAGTCTTTCTAAAATATCTCTCCAACGCTGCCTTTCTTGTTCAATTTGATTCTGGGCTAAAGAGTCAATAGTGGTACAGCTTTTTAATCCGTTTTCTAAATTTAACCATTTCAACATACAATCTTTGTGCAGTTGGCTAGATTCATGAGACTTTAAATAATCACCCAAGTGTTTCCAATCACACACTCCTTTACTGGATCCAATTCTTGTATTTTCTAGTCCGAACAGTCGACACGGAAAGCAGTAAACGGCATCTTTTGTTTGTGAATAAATCATCCAGTGCCTGTCAAGTTTTTCACCATTAGCTAATATTTTACTGTAATGATATTCGCTGAATCGTCGTCCGTTATCATTTACGGGAAAAAATCAACTTTAACCCGGATTGGACCTTTTAATACAATCTCAGTTCGGTCTACATCAGTAATTGTTAATGGCCACAAACCTGGGTCATTTTGAGGATTCAGATTTTCAATTCCGCCAGTCGTGGATGTAGACATAGACTTAGATACGTATTCTTGGCTGGATAGTGTTGACGAAGGCGGCGGTGGTGTAAGAGACAATGATGTTGTTGACTCATTATCCTCGCTATTGTTACTAGGTGGCATCCATGACGATGTTGAAGGAATAATTTCAGCTGGGTTAAGGTTACAGTGCAATAATGTGTCACTTTCAGTCAATGACGGGTTTTTAGAGGTTTCTTGACAATCACTTTTTATATATTTATATAAAGACCCACGTAGTTTTTCTTCTACCCGCTTTCTTTTGATAGCT